GGTGGGGGGGGGACAGCTACAAGTAGTACATATGACTTCTGAAGCAATCTGATTTTTGGTTTTGTTTATACTGCTTTAAACTAGCATATTTTATTTGTTTAAGTTTTGTACAGACAGAACTTTGTTTGGCTTGTTCATTTTCAGGACTCCATAACTCCATCTGCCCATTTTGGCATATCATAGTGATTCTTTGTTCCTACTGCATCCTCTCGGGACCTCTGCCTGTGTTTGTGTGTGTGTGTGCATGCTGCTTTTTATTCCATATTTGTAGATGATCTGATTATGGTCCTTGATTAGCGTGGGTCTCTTCTTCCAGAAATCATCAACTGATTTCTGAGAGCTTTTCTGGCAACTCTCTTGGCTTTCACACAGGCACTGGCTAATGAGTGATAGGACTGTTTCTGGGGGTTGTTTTCTGGAGTGGACTTTCGATGTTTGCCTTCAAAATTCAATCAGATGTTCATTAACACCCTTTGTAAAGTCAAGCTCTTTTTTTTAGTGCTTTAGGTACCAAGTATTAGTATTAGTTTTAACAGAATAAAAACAGTTAAGTGGTTGTTCACCTAAAAACGGGAGTTGTGCAGTTTAGTCATCGTCATTCCGTTCCAAACGTGTATCATTTTTTTTCTTCTGTGAAACACAAGAGAATGTTCTTTTCCAAGCTAACTGAAGCTTTCAAGCAATTGATAGGGTCCTGTGATTTCCATGATGCAGAAAACACGGAATCCAGTCATAAAAATTAAATTTATTGTATTTTGTGGAATGTTACGGAATTTGCCACAATTTTGGATGAATAAATACGAAATCAGCATACTTAAATCAAAATGCGTTATGGACTAGTGTCTGAGAATATAATGCTGCAAAAATATAATTTAAATATGAATCCTGCATGTTCTGCATCTCTTTGTGACTGAATGATGGTGCAGACGCGCAGTTTCAGCCTGTGCCGCCTAAATATATGAGGACATGAACATAATCTGTAGAACTCCTCAGAGAGTCACTTTATTAGCATTTTACCTTTTCTTTTGAGTAAAACTATCATCTAAGTGGGAGAACTTGCACAATTGGTGGCTGACTAAATACTTTTTTTCCCCACTGTACATACAGAAATGTAAAGGTCTTCACAGCAACCTGACAAAGTTAACTTGAAGAAACTGTGACCGAAATACTTAAATATAATGATAGTACTACTACTAATAAAAGTATTATTAAAGCCTTATTTTTAAGGAATATTTACCAGAAAAAATTGTTTACTAGAATTTGTTTACCTGAAAAATGTAAATGCATAACGCAGTATTTATGAAAAATTCATTAAATATTTTTTTAAATAATGTCAATTAATTAAAGATGTTTTTTATAAAAATTGAATGAAACCATTAAAATGGAGTTCAGAAAATTAATGGAAAACACAGAATTTGGTAAAAATAAAACTGAATTTAAAAAAAATTCAGTGATTTTATTTATTTTTTTATTTTTTTGCATTAATATTTTCTGGATTTAAGACTTTAGTCTTTGCAACTTTACAGATCTTCTTTATGCACCAAGAGCTTGTAACACTTCAAAGAGAAAGGAAAAATTGAAATCGCATCATATGACCCCTTTAAACATTAAAACAGAGAGTTAAAAAAATTTAATCTAGAAAAATGAAAAAAATATATATTAATTAATAAAATAATACTAATAAATTAAAACGGAAATGGGGAATAAATCAAAAGGATTTATAGATTATATAATAGATTTGATATAACAGATTTGTGTAACAAATAGACAGAAACTTAAAAGTTAGTCCAAAAATGTGAATTCTGTCATTTACAAATTTTTATGTTTTTCTAAACCGATCATTGAAACGCATCAAGTATGATAAAAGGAAGCTCAAAAGTGCTTGCTTGACATTTGAGAACCAACGAGGTTTGTTCTCTTCAAATACAGTTGAGTAACACTGCTCTTTTGAACTTTCTATTCATAAAATAATCCTGAAAAATAACTGTCTCTTTTTGACGACTTCTAATTGAATGTTACTTGCACTAAATTGGTGGTAATTTAGTTGTATGGGAACCTGACCTTTTCTATGTCAATGACCTCGCTGAATGATTCACTGACCTCTTTGCACGTCAAATGCGTAACAGCATCTCTGTCATGTTACTGAATAGACGTTTATATATAAACATGGGCAATCACGTGTTTGTGATTGTGGACGAGCATGTCTACATCAAGCTCTTTTAATTGCGTTTTCACTCTAAAATTCTGGATTTATTTTCTTATCTTGTTCTTTTTTTGTTTGAATTACCATAATTACGAGATGACAAGATGATTCTGCTCTGAACTACATCATCAGACACAGAAATGATTTATTCCTATGCCAAGGCTTATAATGCGAAAAAAATGGGTCCATGTGCGCTTTTGGTGTTTATATGACAGTAGACTATTTAATCGGTACATTAATTCACTAATTTATCCTTTTGCAACAAGTTAACAACACTGACTACAATCAAATGACAGAAATTGACTGCTTTGAACTGTTGAGACTGCTTTGACATAACATAGCAACAGTCAAGTAGGAGACATCATCAGGCCTTTTATATGAGTTTCTGAATTATTGTGTGAATGTTTTTTCTGGTTATAACCTTTAAATTATTGTAAACATGACATGAAACCGCATTAAAATGCCTAATATGTGAAAAAAGCAAGTCATTTCTAGTGGCTGTTTTTGTGTTGCTGTGTCTGATGATTATGATAAATACCTCCACTAATGTTATTTCTCATACTTTCTGTCTCTCTGTAGGTGGATGAGGATGTAGCATTGGATCAAGCTGTTAAGTTCTGCCAGATTCAGATGGCGACGTCGGCACAAAGACAGGTAGGACGCACAGACTCTCTCTGTCTCACAGCAGGAAATAACTTCCCTCTGGAATGCAAATCTAATATTCTCTCCTCTGCTCACTCCATTGGAAACACAGCAGACTCTCTGGATGTTTTCACATTTGGCTGTGGTGCTGCCCCTTTCTCTCTCTTTTAGGTTTCTCTCTCCCATCCCTCCCACACACACACACACACTCTTTTCTGAGCCATTTATGAAATGCATTAATTATGCACCTTTTGCTAGTATTCCTCCATCCCTCTCACTGTTCAAATGATAAAAACTTCTGTTGAGCAGCACAGAGAGAGAGAAACAGAGGTTGTATTTAGTAAGGAATAGTCACTGCATACTCACTAAACACCAAATACTAATTTATACTATTTAATAATACTAATTAATACTATTTAAAAAAAATGGCTTACACAACTGTATGCAGTATGCAAATTAAACATTCAAATATTTAAATACATGGTTTGTTGTGATGAATAGAAATGGAAATTCTTGGCACTGAACTGTTAATTATGGCTACATGACAAAAAAATGATATTAGTCTTTGTGTTATATAATACTAATATGTTAATATATGAATATTTAGTTTGTGGTGGTATTTAGTATTATTATTTTAATATATTAGCCTATTTGTATAATTTGAAAATGTTTGGATCTTATAATTTAGGGCGTATTAAACTTATCAAAAGTCACAGTAAAGACATGTATAATGTTACAAAAGATTTCTTTAAAAAAATTATGCTGTTGTGTTTTTTTTTTTTTACTTTCTATTAATCAAAGAATCCTGAAATAATGTAACTATTTTTGCCCTTTTTTGATAATACTAATTGTTTCTTGAGTAGAAAACCAGCATATTAGAATGATTTCTGAAGGATCATGTGACACTGAAGACTGGAGTAATGATGCTGAAAATTCAGCTTTGTATCAAATGAATAAATTACATTTTACAACATATTCAAATAGAAACCAGTTATTTTAAATTGTAATAATATTTCACAATAATGCCGTTTTAACATTTATTTTTGATCAAATGGATGCATCCTTGGTGAGCATAAGAGACTTTAAAAAACACAAACTTTTGTTTGTCAAATTACTTTTGTCAAAAAACGTTTGTATGCACAGTTCGACTGTGGTAACAATAGTTGTAGCTGTAATTTTTCTGAGGCTATCAGGGTTACATTATTATACATGTATGGCATTCCAAACATCTCCAGAGTGTGTGACAGGATTGATCTTGACTGGGTTTTCTTCTTAGAGAGACACTCATACGGATCTGCCTGATGTTCAGCTCTCATTCGCTCCTGTATGAGAGCGTTCTCTCTTTTCATTAGCCATTCATTAGTGTGCTATAACTAGCCTGGGCAAAACATATAAGAGGCCCTGCTGTGTCTCTCATCTCTCTCTCATTTACTCTCTGCATCTCTCACCCACTCAAGCAGCCCCCCCTCCACCTCTTCCCCTGATTCAATCGCTTTCATTTCACATCTCTGTCACTCATGCTATCTGTTCATCTCCTCTGCTGCTTACTTTTCTCTAATGCGCCATTACTACAATGTTTTCTGTCTGATAACCGACAGGTCGACCATGTTGGTCCACCATTAGTGTGTAAAACACCACTTCAGCTGGGGATGCGCTGTATAACGCTGCTATTTTTCATCCGCATCAATACGATTAGGCTGGTGTTGTAAGATTATATCTGGGCTATTTATCCCAATTTGAATGCCAGGTACAAAACCTTTATCTGTCTTTTCTGCAGTGCAGAAAAAAACATTGTTTTGACATTTAACATTTTATAAATATATTTTGCTGTGTTTTGAGATTGGGAATTTTATATGAAACAGAAACAAATACCACAAAAAAAATTAAATGTATTACTTTTTAGATGACAAATTACTAGGATGTAACGATATTATCAATATCGTGATCTCGCGATAGCAAAACTGTCTCGATATTATCGTGGTCACATGACGATGAAACGATAGGTCTTCCGAGCAAAAAGTGTAGTTTTTAAAATATATTTAAACTTCTTATTCTAACATAAAAGGTCTTTAAAGTTGTGTTTTGGGCCGTTATGCTTTGGCACAGTATCTGTCAAACGAACTAAAACCGAAAGCACAATATGGCTTAATTCCTTCAAGTTTTTGCTTCGTGTTTTAAGGCGAAGCGTGCACATTGTTGAGGCGATCAGCTCGTGATCCTGTGTTTTCCGCGCCTCAGAATGGCACCGTTCACAGTGAATGACTGCAGTGAACTCGTTTATTGCACGTACTGCGAGTTTAGCGCGCGTTTGGGAACACAAAAGCCATCAGTTATGCTTTATTTTCAAGGCAGATGATTACAACATTTCATTAGATTTGTTGAGACGCGTTTTTGTAAGTCTGTTTTCACTGAAGCTGGAGTTTTCCTTCAAAATAAAAGCTCTACTGTCGTTTCCGTCAAAATAAAAGCTTAAAAGTGCAGTATGAATTGCTGACAGCTAGCAGTTTAAATGCATTCCAACTTCAAAATATCTCTTTCAAGTGTAGAATTTAGGAAAGACTTTAAAATGTTCAAAATGTATTTTTTTCCCCCAATTTTTCATTTGCCTTTTTTTTTTAAATATCGCAATAAATACCGTATCGTGGACTTCATATCGTGATATTATTGTATCGTGAGATTTTGATAGTTACATCCCTACAAATTACAGAATTACTTTTTTTTTTTTAAATAAGTAAAGTAAAATAAAGGGTTGTTTAGGTGTGCTTTAGTACTTTTATTTATTTCTGACTGTTTTATATGTTTCACATATTTCACAAAATAAACAATTCTCAAAATTATAAAAAAGAATTCTTAAATATTAGAATGTACAAAAAAAGGACTTTAGAAAGTAAAACTATAAGGAACTACAATCACACAGCACTTTTCAAACATTTTGGGTTATTTAAATCTTTTATGTTTTTGAAGTCTCTTACGCTCATCAAGGCTGACTTTATTTGATCAAAAATACAGTAAAAACAGCAATATTGTGAAATATTATTACAATTTAAAAGAGAAAAATTCTATTGTAATATATTGTAAAAAGTAATTTGCAAAAGCTGAATTTCCAGCATCATTACTCCATGATCCTTCAGAAATAATTTTGATATGCTGATTTGGTGCTCAAGAAACGTTTATTATTATTATTAATATTTATTTCGGCTTGTTAATTGCTCTGTTGCAAATTTAAAATAAATTACAAGTCTTTAAGAAGACACAGCGAGTGCGGATCCCTTATTTGAAAGTTATTATTAATGTTGAAAACAATGTTGAAAAGTTTTTAAAAGTTAACTTAATATTTTTGTGAAAACTGTAATACTTTTTTTCAATATTCGTTGATGACTAGAAAGTTTAAATGAACAGTATTAATTTGAAATAGAAATATTTTGTAACATTCTTGTGGGGGTTCTTCCATAAAAACTCTAGAGACATTTGTAGAACCATCAAAATATTATTTTATTAATAGCCAAAGTTCATCATTCGTTACGACTCATTGCATGGCTCATAAAAAAAAAAGAAAGAGGAAAAAACATATACACTACGTTACTGAATTCTGGATCTTAGATGTTAACTTCAGGGATCCCTCACCAGAACTAACACCATAAGGGGAATGAAACCCTTTTATCAAAACAGACCAAACCATTTATCGTACCAGGGGTCTCACACAATTCTAAATCAAACTTATTTACATCACACAAAAACATTTATGTATCCAAATATGCAAAATCGCATTTACCACAAGTAATAGTGAAAACGATATACCACAAAAGAAAAACAAAAATATCAAAATACAATATCCGCGAAAACGGCCAAAAACGCTGTAATTACGTATGCCAGGCCAGTAGTTGGCGCTGTCACCTTGTTAGTAAACAGTACCTGTAGAGAAGTGACGATTATATGTTGTATATAATGCGTCTTCGCTATTGGTGAAGTAAATCCACACTTCGCTGAAGAAGCGTTAGCAAACTTGAGCAGCAACAACAGTACCATGTACTCCGCCATTGTTGTGTATGTTTGTTCGCGCTTGCCTTTAAAATCGACACGTACTGCGCATGTCTACATACCTAACACGTACTACGCACGCGCATGACGCCATGATTCCCGTTTTGGGTGTTTACACGGAAACGATAACGGTGGCGTTTTCCAAAACTTGCGCTTTGAAACCCGTTTTCACAAATATGCGTTTTCAGTCCCCAAAACGCCGTTGTCGTGTAAAAGAACAGGCAAAACACATAAAAAGTTTCCCGTTTTTGGCTGAAAACTTTGTCATGTAAATGGCCCCTAAGACGAGGACGGTTACTCTCTGACCTGCTCACAGCATTAGTAAAGAATCACTCAAATTGAACTCGTCCTCTTTCCGCAGACGGTTTGAGGCGGTTTGTTTATTCAACAGGTCTCCCGTCTTTGTTGTTTACCTCAGAAGTCGTCTTGCTCTGAAGCAAGCAATGAAACAGGAAATGCGCCTATTGGTGGGAAGCGTGGGTTCATGCATTGGTTTGAGAGAGAGAGTGAGTGGGTGGAGGGTGCTCATCACAAATGCTTCAGTGTATGTGGTATGGTATACTGCAGAGCACTAACAAACCTGACTGAATTCAGTCACAGTCACACAATCAGTCACTCATCTGACTGACAATTTTATCCTAAGTGGGTACATTTATTACAGGCATATTCCCCTGGAGCGCAAGATTCTGTCATCATTTACTCACCCTTGTGTCGTTCTAAACCCATGTGTCTTTTTTCTGGAAAAAACTAAAGATTTCATGCACGATCTATATAATGAAAACAAATCAAGCTCCAAAAATGACAAAAAAGCACAATAATAGTTGTCTGTACATCTGAAAATCTCATTACCATTCACTTCCATTCAAAAGTTTGGGGTTGGTAAGATTTTTAAATGATTAAAATCTATTTTTGATCAAAAATACAGAAATATTGTGAAATATAATTTTTTTTAAATAACTGAATATATTTTGAAA